AACAAATATATTTTGGGAGTATTTTCAGCCATATGAGATGAGCACCTTTGGGAATTGGGAATCATTTAAAGGTCATTTTCAGAAATGCACTTTTTTTGTTCTTGCCAAGAGTAAAATTTAAAAAATCAATACCACTCTAATGTCTGTATGGTAAATATGAAGTGGAGCCGGTTGATGGTTAGCTTCTGTAGCTTAGCATGAAGAGTGGAAACTCAAAGGTAACAACATCTGCGTACTAGCATCTCTCAAGCTCAACTTTTACACCACTAATGGCTGGAGATCACTCCAAGCCAAGAAATAGAGTGATATATAATCCCCTGTAAAATAACTAATGATCAATTTTGCACTTATTTGGATTAAACCGATTAGACATGCATGTCATTCATTAGTTTTTTCTTATCTTTGGCCAGAGCCACGCTAAGGCAACCAGATAGCTACATATTTACAATACAGATGTAGAAGAGGATATAAACAACAGTTTTAATGCCTGCTAACTTCTCTCTCATAAATATGATTCATCGTGCCATATTTTATTTTACGATTGCTCCCCAGCCTGCTGCGTTCGAGGCATCTCCAGGAGAAGTGAGCTGTAGCTGCATTTGGCAGCACACTGCCCTGACCACACGCCTCCTCCATAAACTGAGGCAATCCATTACATGATCCATTCTGGAAATATTAGAGGCGATAAATTAAGGTGTAAGCCAGGTCGATGGGAGGAGAGAGGCTTTTTTTAATAACGGCAGACAGCCGCTACAGTAGAATCAAAGAGCCACATCTTAGGGGTTCATCAAAGTGCTCTCAGTTTACTAAATGTAATAACACTTTTCTTATGAGTTCAACAAGGACACATGGAGGGGGAAGCTGTGTGTGTGTATGGTGTGTGTATGGTGTGTTTGTGTGTGGAAGCAGGGGAAGCCCATGACAGAGCGAGAAAGAGAGTTAAACGAATGGCTGAGATGATTGCAAGTGCTGGAGAAGGGATTGAATTCTGAGCAGGTCGTATTTCATGCCGGGGAGGAGGCGAGACTCCCAGTGAGACACACACACAAAAACACACAACAGGATATTTTACCTCTATTGCCAAGTCACTTCAAACAGACTTCCATTACCATTAGAAAGCTCCGGGGAACACACTCGAGGAGCCGGAGAGGACTGAGACTTTTGGAATCATGTTAAAAACAATGTGTTGTTCTTTAGTTTGAAATGTCTGAAGCAAAGAGGACTCTGAATGTGCTTCAATTAACCACAGCTTAAAGGACCAGAAGGCAACTCCCACACATCTTTAAACTGTTAATTGATGCAAAAAGCTCTCCTGGCAATTAGTACACAGCGTTTTCTTTTTTAGATGGAACAGAGAAAGGCAGCCAAGAGGAAAAATGTATACATATTATAAGTGTGGGTGCATTCAGGGTGAAACAGGGCGTCTACAAAGCCAAGAAAGTGTTAGACGGACAATCAGTCAACTTTAGTTTCAGGAAATTGGAACACAACCAGCTCAGAAAGTCGCAGAATCTAAAAACCTCTGAATTCGTCATAGGCGGACTGATTATCTTGCTAATCAAACGCAACAAAGGACAAACTCTCTTGAGCTTTACTAAACATTTCATCGAATTAGACCTTTTATGGCTAAAGTGACCCTTTAAAGCAAATCAATCTCTTCTCACGGCCCCTTGTCACAGGTTGCATAACGCGTTAGTTGTGAGTCATTTAAAACAAGATCTATTCAGATGAAATGCTTAAAGAGACTTGTGTTGATCAAACTAAACAACCCCAGTTTGACAATGGGAGAGATCTACGTTTGAATCATTCGCACTGCATTTCCTGTTTTCTTGACTTTGTAAACAAATGCTTAAAATACTCCTTAAGAGCATAACGAATAAATACAAATCCGTGGTTTTGACCTGGAAACCAAGTCAGGTCTTTCTAAACACTAATCAGACTACATTATACGCAAGGTTCTTACACAACTTGGAGATAAACATTTTTAGCAAAATGAGGTGTTGTAAAAAGTCTGATCCTGGTACTGGTAGCAACACCATCTTACAGTTAAGTTGATTTTATTTATTGAGCTTTACACTCTGTAAAACCTACTCTGTATCCTTGACCCTTAGGTAATACCAGTCTTAGTGGTATTCAAAACCTTAGCCTAAGGGTCTATCCTGCAAACACAAGCCTGGCTGACCCTCACTTTCCCACATCCTTAAAGCTGCTCATCAAACCTGCACTAAGTTTTTTTAAGGCCACAGTTAGAGTTCAGCAGAGTGGTGCTGAAATGACAGTTCCTGCACCCTGGTGTCATGCTTCCTATCTTTACTTTCCCCCCTGAACAATGCTCCCACAGCCGATAGCCTGCTCCTAACGCTCAGGTGGAGCTGCGATGCGAAACAATATTTAAATCGCCTGACAGAGAAACGATTAAAGTCGCGGATTAGGAAACGTAGTGCCAAAATAAAAAAAGCCACCCCGTCTGCCTCAGCTAATGCTTCATGCTTTAACGAAATCCCTTCACTAACAATACAAAAGCAGGGGAGAAAAAGACGCATGCAAGTGCCAAGTCTCGCCATGATGCATGTTGCATGTTGTGCACGGAGCAGTATTGCAGCTGAGTGAACACGCATTTCTTACCCGGAGTTTTCTTTTGGTGCAGTAGGGAAGAAGAAGGAGGATGAGGATGAGGAGGAGGAGGAGGAAGAGGAGGAGGAGGGGGATAGACCAACTCCACCGCTCTCCTTTCTTCAGGCGCCTCTCTCCATACAATGGCACCGGTGCCGGTCCGGGCTCTCTATCCCGGGGATGGAGTCCACACTCCCCCCGGAAGATAGGGAGGAGTGTGAGGAGGGGTGGTGAGAAAGAAGAAGAGGAGGAGGAGGATGGTTTATCTTCCACTCGGATGTGTCCGTCTGCTGCTGCTCGCTGGAGTCTGAAAAGCTGCTGCCTGAGGCATTTCTGTACGAGCCGCAGCTCACCCCCGACCGACCGACTGCAGGAAGAAAGTCCCTCCCCTGCAGCGCAACTTCCACTGCCGGGCCGCTCGATAACACGACCACCACCTCCTCCTCCTCCTCCTCACAGCTCCACAGCAGCACTGAGGGAGACCTACCTGCCTGCTGCACACACACACACACACACACACACACACACACACACACACACACACACACACACACACACACACACACACACACACACACACACACACACACACACACACAC